AGTAAAAGTTCATGCGCCAGCTGGTTCGCCTTCTCGTTGCCTTTTATACGTGTGACCCGGGACCCAAACAAGGGTGACCCTGTTGAGCCCACTGGAAAGTTCTAGGGTTGTCATACAGTCAAGCGTGAGCCTTGATTTGACTCTGTCTGAGCAAAGGGCTCGGAGTAAATGGAGATTTTCTTTAGCTCACACCTGTATGGCGTGGATCTCAGTCTGGTCTACCGTTGGGTATCAACCCAGTACTCTCGCCACAGGTCTCTTCCCATATACACTAGTCCCTACACCCTCTCCCATCAGAGACTTAGAGTCAATATTTCCAAAATAGTTGAACTTAGGTATAGGGTATATCACATGAAATCTTCACAGAATTTTACGTAAAATCCGAATATTCAATAATATACAGGGTGTTCCATTTAAAATAAGAAAGTTGGAGCACGACCAGCATTTCTGAAACACCCTGTATATGCAAAAAATGTAATTTCAACCCTAAAACTTTTATTTGAGACACTTTTTTCTAAAATGTCAAATAAAAAAGATAGAGGGGGTGACATTTATAACCAATAACCCTGTACATGAAATATATCTCCAGAAATGTCATAATATACAGGGGTTACAATTAAAAAAACTAAAGTTGATAACAGTACAGCTGTTTTCGGAGCACCCTGTATAAAAAAATTGATGTGAAAAAATCTGAAGCAAAAAACAAAATTCGAGAGTTTTTTCGAAAAGTGCCCCATTTATTTATTATCGAATTTATTCCATTTGGCTGATACACACTGTACATATATTTTCGCTAGGTATCTCTATTGATGTCTTTTTTCTATTGATTTCGAAAAGAGATAAGAAGACAGCAAATGTCATAGCGATATCGCTAACGATCTCTATCCGTTACGGAAGGCCTATAGCTCGAGCGATCCCTTCTGCACAATTCCCTATTAAATTGTTATCTTTCTGGTGGTGTCTTCTTTTCCCACACGAATAATATTTTACCCACTTCTCAAGTATTCTTTTTGTTTGAGATCAAAAAGAAATAACGCCGTCGAGACGACAGACCAACACTACTGAGCTTGACAACACGAAAACTTGGCTGGCGATGTCAGTTTTAGAATTGACAATATCCAAAGACAATTATGGCAGGATGCTGAGTTGTGTAGCAATGCACGAATCCTATTCTACTAAATCTAGCTATGAATAAGTTAGATTGGTTGTCATGTGTAAGTGGTTATTATGGGCATTTACTTACTTTATAAATATATAGTCGCCGCCACAGATAATTGAGATTCCTACAAAAAATGATTTCTTTGTCGGCGATGCCCGCATGAACAAAAACCGCAGCAAAAACTCTACAGATAAGGGTTGGGAATAAATTTAGTCCAAGAGCATCAATTAAATTCATTTTGCGTATAGTATTATTGTATTGTTCTGGATTCGATTAAGTGCTTAATTTCTAGCATTAAATATGTAAATGATCTTTTAAGAAAAATGGAAAATAATTTTTAACATTATTTACAACAATTTAAACCGAATAATTTCAAACCAATATAATCTTGAACTCAAGCGATTCCTGACACGTGCTCCCTGACTAAAAGCAGGCCCGCTGATAATATAAACATACTTTTTTGTACGAATCTCGATTATCTCTGGCGGGTACTATACTTAGTCATTTGCCTTGAGCTCTTCTGGGATTGCTCTGTTCAATCTCTTGAAGGTTAAACAAAATATTTTCATAATGACGTACAATATCGGCGAGATTGTGGCCACTACAACGTAAAAATGAAATACACAGATATTTATCGCATCCAGTGGGACCTTTGCAGGTTGTCAGGTAGTCCAGGTAGGCAATGAAGTAGCACTTTATTTTACTAGAGAAATAAAGAACCACTTCATTTTGCAGTAAAATAAAGTGCTACTTTATTGACGCAAAACTGTTCTATAAATAGCACTTTATTGGTCAATCGGACATAAAGGTATTTATGCTTTCGAGCGAATAGATCTCAAAGCTCAAATATTGCGGAAAATGCTCTATATTTATATAGTGGGGCTGCAATTTTCAATTTCAAATCATCTGCAAATTTCCGCGGTAAAATATTAATTGAAAATTATTCGCCAAATTTCCTACTCGTAAAACAACGGCCAGCGGTTGCGTTCCGGGGTTTTATTCGATAAAATAGTTGCTTTTTGACTATACTATGGAAAAGTATAAATTTTAATTTTCTAAAAGCCAAGAGAAAATTGTAATTCAAATTCTGATAGGTACGCAAAACTAGTTGGCAATCGTAGATGCTTCGGTAATGGAAATCAGCCGGTGCAGAAAAACCTGACCGATTAATCTGGATCAGTTACCGAATGGATTATGTTATCAAAGTTCCAAATTGACATATTTGCAATTAAAATTTGTCTTGTGCAAATTCCATTTCTGCAAGCCAAAGTGAGTTTTATCTTATTCAATATTCCATTAAAAATCTTAAAAAGTTAAATACAAGATTAGAAAATCCGATTCTCCGTTTTATACTGATGGGCGCAAATAAATATTTAGTTTGGACTGAGCGTTCTGCTAATTTTCAACTTCTAGACTTTATTGCATTAAGAAGTGCAATGAAGACGATGACTTCATGATCAAAAATGATTTACGAAATTACAATAAATATTAATTTTATATTCGGATAATGAGAAAATTAGGAGCCCGGGAACATACATAAGTTATTTTTAATTCGAAACTTCCTGAAAACCTAAACTTTATTGGTTTTTTATATCTGAAAGTATACGAACAACTTGCCTTAGTAATAAATACCCTCATCGTTCAAAAAATATGACCGGAAAAGTAACTCGGCCGTAAAAAATTTACAGCAACGCGGGAAGATTAAAAATCTCCACCGGGGACGTAAATATTCTTTCCAACTTTGTTTGGTTTATTAAATTCCAGTTTATAGGCAAGTGAAAATTAGTTTTACACACTTGCTATGTAATATTTATTTTTCTACGAGCGTGCGGGAAATGGCTCTTCCCGCACGATTTGCTGTGCGGAAAGACTTTCTTCCCGCACCGGTGCGGGAAGAGTTTGAAATAATCATTGTGACATGGAATTGTTTGTATTGTTGATACACCTATACCTTTTTATAAATACCTTTTAATACATTTTTAATTCTACCTTCTGCATAATCGCATTTTATTTAAATTAAACTCTTCGTAACATCAGCTTTAGTATGCTCGTAGAAAAAATATAGTTCCTAACTCTTGCGGGAAGAAATTTCCGGCACTCGTTAGGAAAATAGCTATTTCAGTCGCCGAGCAAAGAGTAAATGATCCGAATTGTTATTTTTCCTCACAAACACAACTTTCACGAGTTTTGGAAAAAAAAGTTTTCCGCTTCCCTTTTAAAAAATTAATAAAATATAGATTATTTGCGAACTCTATAACGAATATACAGGGTGTTTTGAGATATCGCCATTTTTAGATATTTTGAATCCATGTATTTTAACACAAAACTTGGATTACATATTTTTTTGTATCTTGCATTTAGTTTTTCTTTCCGTATTGTTTTGAAAGAGTGCATATTAGGAATATCGACAAAAAAAAAATTGAAAAAGGTTAAAGTGGCAGCTACCAAAAAAACTATATAGTTGGGGAGCTGGCGTCAAAAACATGCAAGAGTTTTCGCAAGGCGGATAATTTCAAAATAGGTCGTACTTTAGTGCTAGAATGCTAGTGTACAGTCAGCACTCACAGTTCCGGGACAGCTGGCTCTGGGACGCGGGCAAAGTTGTAATTTTAAGAAGCATCTAAACTGTTTTCTCAAAGCTCAAAATTTATAGAAATTTTGCACATTATCTGTTTGAAGGTCACAGATAACGTATGTAAATCGTCAGACGTCTAGTTCGTTGCAAAAAGGGGGTCAGACGTCCTCAAAGTTTTTATTTTATGGCATTTTCTTCGGTGTCCTGTCAAAATATATTTTTGCAGGTATCTGACAAATATATTTGAAGAAAATGCCATAAAATAAAAACTTTGAGGACGTCTGACCCCCTTTTTGCAGCGAACTAGACGTCTGACGATTTACATACGTTATCTGTGACCTTCAAACAGATAATGTGCAAAATTTCTATAAATTTTGAGCTTTGAGAAAACAGTTTAGATGCTTCTTAAAATTACAACTTTGCCCGCGTCCCAGAGCCAGCTGTCCCGGAACTGTGAGTGCTGACTGTATACTAGCATTCTAGCACTAAAGTGCGACCTATTTTGAAAATATCCGCCTTGCGAAAACTCTTGCATGTTTTTGACGCCACCTCCTGGACTAATATGTTTTAAGAACAATTCAAATATTTCCCAAAAATATCCGATGCCTCAAAAACGACAAAACTTTGCATAAGGGTCAAACAGCTCCCAAATACCCTAACTATCAATCATTGAAATCTTTCTATCGAGGTTCCAAACACCCTGTATAAAGAATACTTTTTGCTTTGCAAAAGAAAAAATGTTCCAGCTGCTGTTGAATATTTGATTACCATAACTCTGAATTCTTGCACTCCCACCTCTGGTAGCACCTTTTGTAAAGGCAAAAAACAGAGTGATATCAGTGAGCCGATTATACTTCAAGTGCATGGTGAGCGGAATTTGATTTTCCATAATTTATTAGGATAAAAATATGATTCGGAGAGGGATAAAAATTGTTTGTCTGTTTTGTTGGGCGACACTCGACATTTTGGCTGTTGAGCTGGGGTAAAATTTGCTCTGGCGTCAAAATTTAAAATTAATTATTCAGTGCTTTTATAATCATTACGCCCCTAAATTCAAGTTTCTCCTCGGAAAGCTTCAACTTCATACAAGATGTAACAGAAAATTTACACGATCAACTTTGCAAATATGTTCTTTTGAGAATCTCAAACTAGTAAATTCAGAAACTTATACCCTACACGATTCTGATTATCTGGATTCCTATAATCGTCTTTTGGATATAAGTTCAACATTGTCTCTTTATGGGCGAAAATTATTTATAATTTCAGGTGCCCCGCAAGTTTTGCGATACACGGCAACGCCGGAAATTTTCGTCGAAAGCGGACAAAGTATGAATTTGAGCGTGGTCGTTTGCGCTGATCCCAGACCGAGATCGGTCGCCTGGGAATGGGGCTCGCTCAGATTGCAGGGTGGCAATGAGATGGGTAAGAATTTTTTCTAATTTACATCTATTGCTCAGAAATTTTGTTGCAACTTCTGAGTAAATATAAAGCAATTATGAAGAAATTGATCATGAGATGAGATTATTTTAGGAAAATTCAAAATAAACGACGTGATTCAAGAAGAGGGAGAAGATTGCTATTTAACCACCATCCACGTGAAAGATACTTCGGTGACGGATTCGAGGACTTATTATTTGCTTGTGGAAAACGACAAGGGCAGAGACACGCACGCCGTTGAATTATACGTGAATGGTGAGTGGACTTTTTATTCGGGGAAAAAGGGAGTTTTACTCTTTTAAGCGGTGATTCAGTCGTTCAATTTTTCATAATTTTCAAGCCACCGCTGAAGAAGTAAAAGGTACGTTTTGATTTTGGATTATTTTTGAATGCCCTATTTGTCATGAAAAATTTCATCCAAAACCAACAATACTCCATTGTAAATCATACGATTTAGTCCATTTTAAATTAATATTCCAGGCCATTTCAAAAAATAAATAAATTTCTAACAATAATAGTGAACATTTCCATTTAAATCCTACCTGGCTGGAAAATATTTTAATTTTCCTTTACAGGCAAATTGAAATCTTGATTTATTTTTCCAGAGCCACTACAAATGAGCATATTGGTGATCGTAGCTGGTGCCTTCCTAGACGGTCTCCTGGTGCTGGTTTGCGTCTGCATCTACGCGATTAAGGCGGAAAAATGTAATTTTTCAAGTAACTAAAATATGATAGAAATAAGGGATCGTATTTAAAATATTTCCAAGTTCTTATCATAATGGTTAATATTTGAGGCCCCCATATTTCTATATGAGGGTAAAAAATGGACAAATAAAAGACAGTTTTCGGATAAGCGAAAAGGTCGACGAGGAAAACATCCCCATAAACTGGAGATAATCGGTTCGGATAAGGGTTTTATATGGTTTAAAAATGAAAAATTCCCCCCAGGAATTGTAGCAGTGATGATTTTTTCAATGAATAAGGAAAAAAAAAATTGAAATTTTAATATGATCTTTTTTTATGCCAAAAGTTTTACAACTTTCCGTTCATTAGTTTTCTAGAAAAATAATATGTGAAAAGTTTTCAATACTTTCCTTATGTTGGTATATTTATTATTGGCTCGATTTTTTTTTTTTTTTTTTCCAAAATCGGGCAAATTTTTGGTAGAGAAAAACCAGGTAATTTATAAAATAATGACTCAAGGTCCAGGATGTAAATAGAAACACCAGAGCTTTGAGAATCCAAAGATTTTCCATAAAAAAAATCAAGAAATTTGTAATGTAATGACATTATTCAGTTTCCACAGAGAAAACCCAGAAAAATAAGCTCCGTCAAGTTAGCCCCGCCTATTAAATTTTTCAATTTTTTTTCGTGCTAATTAACTGTGCTCCCAGTGTGCTCTACTGTGCTACTAGTATTAGGAACTGTGATGAGTTGCACTCAATGCTATTCACGAAAATTTGAAGGGGGGCCAACTTGACGCTCAGCCCCCCCGTTTTTTCGATTATTTTATTGAACAAAAGCAAAAATCAATGTAACTTCCAGTGTGCTGAACTGTGCTGTTAATATTTTCACGTTAGATTTGCGTTCAACCCTCGTTTTCTCAAAAAATGCTATGGCGGGGCCAACTTGACACTCAGCCCCCCGTTTTTTCGATTATTTTATTGAACAAAAGCAAAAATCAATGCAACTCCCAGTGTGCTGAACTGCGCTGTTAATATTTTTAGCTCAGTTTTTCATTCAACCCTCGTTTTCTCAGAAAATGCTATGGCTGGTCCAACTTGACGCTCAGCCCTCCCGTTTTTTCGATTATTTTATTGATCAAAAGCAAAAATCAATGCAACTTGCAGTGTGCTGAACTGTGCTGCTAATATTTTTAGCTCAGTTTTTCGTTTAACCCTCGTTTCTCTCAAAAAATGCTATGGCGGGGCCAACTTGACGCTCAGCCCCCCCGTTTTTTCGCTTATTTTATTGAACAAAAGCAAAAATCAATGCAGCTTCCAGTGTGCTGAACTGTGCTGTTAATATTTTTAGCTCAGTTTTTCGTTCAACCCTCGTTTTCTCAAAAAATGTTATGGCGGGGCCAACTTGACACTCAGCCCCCCTGTTTTTTCGATTATTTTATTGAACAAAAGCAAAAATCAATGCAACTTCCAGTGTGCTGAACTGTGCTGTTAATATTTTTAGCTCAGTTTTTCGTTCAACCCTCGTTTTCTCAGAAAATGCTATGGCGGGGCCAACTTGACGCTCAGCCCTCCCGTTTTTTCGATTATTTTATTGAACAAAAGCAAAAATCAATGCAACTTCCAGTGTGCTGAACTGTGCTGCTAATATTTTTAGCTCAGTTTTTCATTCAACCCTCGTTTTCTCAGAAAATGCTATGGCTGGTCCAACTTGACGCTCAGCCCCCCCCGTTTTTTCAATTATTTTATTGAACAAAAGCAAAAATCAATGCAACTTCCAGTGTGCTGAACTGTGCTGTTAATATTTTTAGCTCAGTTTTTCATTCAACCCTCGTTTTCTCAGAAAATGCTATGGCTGGTCCAACTTGACGCTCAGCCCCCCCGTTTTTTCAATTATTTTATTGAACAAAAGCAAAAATCAATGCAACTTCCAGTGTGCTGAACTGTGCTGTTAATATTTTTAGCTCAGTTTTTCATTCAACCCTCGTTTTCTCAGAAAATGCTATGGCTGGTCCAACTTGACGCTCAGCCCCCCCGTTTTTTCAATTATTTTATTGAACAAAAGCAAAAATCAATGCAACTTCCAGTGTGCTGAACTGTGCTGTTAATATTTTTAGCTCAGTTTTTCGTTCAACCCTCGTTTTCTCAGAAAATGCTATGGCGGGGCCAACTTGACGCTCAGCCCTCCCGTTTTTTTCGATTATTTTATTGAACAAAAGCAAAAATCAATGCAACTTCCAGTGTGCTGAACTGTGCTGCTAATATTTTTAACTCAGTTTTTCATTCAACCCTCGTTTTCTCAGAAAATGCTATGGCTGGTCCAACTTGACGCTCAGCCCCCCCGTTTTTTCAATTATTTTATTGAACAAAAGCAAAAATCAATGCAACTTCCAGTGTGCTGAACTGTGCTGTTAATATTTTTAGCTCAGTTTTTCGTTCAACCCTCGTTTTCTCAGAAAATGCTATGGCGGGGCCAACTTGACGCTCAGCCCTCCCGTTTTTTCGATTATTTTATTGAACAAAAGCAAAAATCAATGCAACTTCCAGTGTGCTGAACTGTGCTGCTAATATTTTTAGCTCAGTTTTTCATTCAACCCTCGTTTTCTCAGAAAATGCTATGGCTGGTCCAACTTGACGCTCAGCCCCCCCGTTTTTTCAATTATTTTATTGAACAAAAGCAAAAATCAATGCAACTTCCAGTGTGCTGAACTGTGCTGTTAATATTTTCAGCTCAGTTTTTCGTTTAACCCTCGTTTCTCTCAAAAAATGCTATGGCGGAGCCAACTTGACGCTCAGTCCCCTCATTTTTTGGATTATTTTATCAGAAGAAGAAAAGTCTGTTCCGCAGTTTTCCTCGATGTAGCGGAAGCATTTGACAAAGTTTGGCATGAGGGCTTAAACTCTAAACTAAAGCTGTTTCTGCCAAAACAATATTCTGATATTTTGGAATCATATATGTGTGATAGACATTTCAGAGTCAAACAGGAAGATTTTGAATCAAATTTACGAAAAATAAAAGCAGGTGTACCTCAGGGTAGCGTGCTAGGTCCCTACTTATATTTATTATTTACATGCGACATCCCAAAACCAGAAAATTGTCATTTAGTAACATTCGCCGACGATACTGGTTTAATTACAGTGGAAAAAAGTATTGAACAATCAACAGAAAAACTGCAGAACGCTGTCAGTGAAGTTCAAAATTGGACCAAAAAATGGCGAATAAAATTGAATGAAACCAAATCAATTCACGTTGATTTTACAAACAAAAACTTAAATCACATACAAATAACAATTAATGACACCCCTATACCATATTCAAATCAAGCTAAATATCTTGGTATGACGCTTGATGCGAAATTGCGCTGGAAAGCACATGTTAAGAAAAAAAGGCAAGAGCTTGAATTTAAGTATGGAAAAATGTACTGGTTAATTGGAAGGACGTTCAATTTAACCATACATAACAAGTTACTGCTTTATAGGCAAATACTGAAACCAGTATGGGCATATGGCATTCAACTTTGGGGTTGTACTAAAGATAGTAACATACAAGTTATTCAAAGATTCCAAAATAAAGTACTAAGAAACATTGTTAATGCACCTTGGTACGTTCGAAATAGTGATCTACATCGGGAACTAGGAATTGATACTGTAACAGAGACTATTATAAGAAAGTACGCAAAAAGAAGGCAAAAAGCCATGAAGATAGACTACATCGGCATGTGAATGTGGAAGTGATTAAGGTCCTAGACAACACTGAGCTAGTTAGAAGACTGAGAAGAGTGAAGCCATTCGAGCTAGTGAACTGAAATTGAAAAACACAACAAAATAGTGCTATAAACACATCAAAATTGTGATTTACAGTTAAAGCAAAGTGGGGAAAACTGTTGAGTGAACCTCAAGAATTGTAAACTTTATAGTAAATTAGGTTAAAACAAAATTGCTAATTAGTCTTACTGACTAGATTGTAATGTAATAAACACAATAGGCCTTTTCGGAAACACTAATCCGATTAACCCGATCACCAGCTGTTTATATTTTATCTTCCTTCAATGAATACGATTGAAAAAAGACAAAGGATATCAGCTGGTGATCTGGTTAATCGGATCAGCATTTCCGAAAAGGCCTAATGTGTTTGACAAATAAAAAAAAAAAACAGTTCAGCACACTGAAAGTTGCATTGATTTTTGCTTTTGTTCAATAAAATAATCGAAAAAAACGGGGGCCCGGGGGGGCTGAGCATAAAGTTGGCTCCGCCATAGCATTTTTTGAGAAAACGAGGGTTGAACGAAAATCTAACATGAAAATATTAACAGCACAGTTCAGCGTCAAGTTGGCCCCGCCATAGTATTTTTTGAGAAAACGAGGGTTGAACGAAAAACTGAGCTAAAAATATTAACAGCACAGTTCAGCACACTGGAAGTTGCATTGATTTTTGCTTTTGTTCAATAAAATAATCGAAAAAACGGGAGGGCTGAGCGTCAAGTTGGCCCCGCCATAGCATTTTTTGAGGAAACGAGGGTTGAACGAAAAACTGAGCTAAAAATATTAACAGCATAGTTCAGCACACTGGAAGTTGCATTGATTTTTGCTTTTGTTCAATAAAATAATCGAAAAAACGGGGGGGCTGAGCGTCAAGTTGGCCCCGCCATAGCATTTTTTGAGAAAACGAGGGTTGAACGAAAAACTGAGCTAAAAATATTAATAGCACAGTTTAGCACACTGGAAGTTGCATTGATTTTTGCTTTTGTTCAATAAAATAATCGAAAAAACGGAGGGGCTGAGCGTCAAGTTGGCCCCGCCATAGCATTTTTTGAGAAAACGAGGGTTGAACGAAAAACTGAGCTAAAAATATTAATAGCACAGTTTAGCACACTGGAAGTTGCATTGATTTTTGCTTTTGTTCAATAAAATAATCGAAAAAACGGAGGGGCTGAGCGTCAAGTTGGCCCCGCCATAGCATTTTTTGAGAAAACGAGGGTTGAACGAAAAACTGAGCTAAAAATATTAATAGCACAGTTTAGCACACTGGAAGTTGCATTGAT